TTTAGCTGATTTTCTTTGTCAAATATCAAAAACTTGTTGCAAAGTAACACCATCCTACGGTAATATTGGAAATTGAAATATCGTGAAATAAATGATTCAGTGGCTTTCTACATGATTTTACCCGAAAAAACTCCGGAAACGCCATCTCAACTACAAAAATAGGTGAAAACTTCCGAATCTTGTCGGACGGTGAAGATATCATAAAATCGGCCTAGATATGAGAAATAAAGCATGCTCCTGAGACATAAATTAATTTTGGATATTATTTTTCTCATTTTCACTCTCGGAAACATCGAAAACGACACCCTAAACGTTAAAATCGCACTAAAAAAAATATTGCCTAGAATTCACCTCATTTTTAAAAATTGGCGCCATTTTCAATTCTAAGGGACGGAACTTCCGGCTCTGTAACTCAAATACTCCAATAGTTCTAGGGAACATGTGTACAAAGTGGCACAATTTTAATATGAAATACCGAACACTCAGAAAAATCACATGGGTTGATTCAACAAAAAAAAAATTGTTGAATAACAATTCCGATGATATTGTCAAATGAAACTACAATCTGTTTATCCATGGTTGGAAAAAGCAATAAAAAGTATTTATACTTAATTTTCACTAATTTATTTACAGTAACATGTTTCGCTACACTGTAGCTTCATCAGACTACTTAAAACTATATGGTGGGTCACTATTTATATGTTATCTTAACTACTAACAGGTACACAATTTTACAAACATAGAAATTATTAATTTACAAATTACAATGGTCTATTGTTGAAGGGTACAAGGGTAATAAAATGTTCGTGAATATTTAATAGTTGAAAATATAAGTAAAGGAGAATTATTTAAATCTAGTTGATCGTTGAGTAAAAAATCTGAGTTTTTAAATTTATTAATTTGCAATGATTCCAGGTAGTTGAGTTTGAAGCCTTTATTTTCTGTATGCAAAATTTTTATGTTATCATTAAATGTATGGTTAGTTTTAATAAGATGATTGGAATAATTAGAATTAGTTTTGCGTTTTATGTAAGAATTATGATGTTCTGAAATTCTCGTTTTAAAACATCTTCCTATCTGACCTATATACGCTTTTGGACATTCATTACAAGTAAGTTGATATACTCCTGACTTTGACATTTTATCTGATTTGCTTTTATTGTTTTTGAGATGTTTAGCAAGTGAATTTGATGTTTTGATATAATCAGTAAAAATCCCTTATTTAAAAATTTTCTTTACTGGCATAGATACGTTGATGACATATTAACTTGCTTTGTTAGAACCGATCGTCAACTTTCTTCCTTTTTAAACTTTATGAATAATTTACATCCTAATATTAAATTCACTATCGAAGAAGAACTTAACGATTCCATTAATTTTCTCAATCTTACCATTAAAAAAGAAAAAGGACGTCATACTTTCTCAATTTATCACAAACCATCTCACACTGACACCACTATTCACAATTCTTCATGCCACCCGATTCAACATAAATTAGCAGCTTTCCATAGTATGATCCATAGACTAATTTCTATCCCCTTGAATGAAAAGGACTTCACCAAAGAACTCAATATTATTAAACAAATTGCTTTCAATAATGGATACAACCCGAACATCATTGATAGTCTCGTAAGCAAAAAAAAATTTAAAAAATGTATCAATATGCTATACCCAACAATCCGAGATCCTAAATAAAAAAATTAAAAAAAAAGTCACTAACATACTTCGGTCCAACAAGCAAAAAACTCAGTTCTTATTTAAATAAATTAGACATTAATATTGCCCTAAAAACATCAAATTCACTTGCTAAACATCTCAAAAACACTAAAAGCAAATCAGATAAAATGTCAAAGTGAGGAGTATATCAACTTACTTGTAATGAATGTCCAAAAACGTATATAGGTCAGACAGGAAGATGTTTTCAAAAGAGAATTTCAGAACATCATAATTCTTACATAAAACGCAAAACTGCTTCTAATTATTCCAATCATCTTATTGAAACTAACCATACATTTAATTATAACATAAAAATTTTGCATACAGAAAATAAAGGCTTCAAACTCAACTACTGGAATCATTGGAAATTAATAAACTTAAAAACTCAGATTTTTTACTCAACGATTAACTAGATTTAAATAATTCTCCTTTACTTAATATTTTCAACTATTAAATATTCAAGGACATTTTATTACCCTTGTACCCTTCAACAATAGACCATTGTAATTTGTAAATTAATAATTTCTAAGTATGTTTGTAAAGACAGAAAACTTGATTTAACTTAAAAAATAGATATTATAACTATTGTTTTGCTCACTAACCAGGATTTTTGTTAAATTTTGTCAATCCATACGAGAAAATGTTTAATTCAGTTTTAACCTTTATTAGATGGTATATATTTAACAAATTTAATTGTTAAAAGTGACTATGATATTTTGGGAAAATTGAACTATTATTTAGTTCACTAACAATTTTTTGTTAAAGTTTGTCAAACCAAACCAGTAAAATGTTTAATGAATTTTCACCTATTAATGCATAGGATATTTAACCAATTTTAATTGTTTAGTGACAATGATATTTTAGGCAAATTTAACAATTATTTAGTGCACTAACAGTTTTTTTGTTAAAAGACTCATCAAACTAAACTAGAAATTGTTTAAATTGCTTTTAACCATTACTTAATGGTAAATTTAAACCACAATGTTGTTAATTTACTAAAGAAATTTGTTAACTAACAAAATTTTATTTAAAGTCAACCCTCTGATTTGCCACATCTACAAAATTATTCTCCAAAATGCTTTTTTTTGGTTGGCTTCACCTATTATTGCATACAAAATTTGAAATTTATATCGGTTTTCCTTGCTGTGCTCAGATCCAGACCAGTAGGTCCCTCGTCTAGTGCAGAGACCAGACAAACAGGTGAAACCTTACGGAATACGGACTTGCTCCATATTTACGTTTTCAAAACGCCGCGTCCATTGGTATTAATCCAGATCAATCACTGATGATTAGTGAATAATTCGTTCGGAGTGTTCGGACCCGAAGGGTAAGTCAGGATGGATAGCTTTCAACAGAAATTCACGGATTCGCTTGTGAATTTTATCTACTAATTATTAATTTGGTTGGGCTAACTATTTATGTTGATATTATTCAATAAAATATCTAACAAGTGCCTACTTTTCTTATAGATACAACTAGATTTCTCGAACATAAGGGAAAATCATATAATTTAGTATCAAAATGGAGCAACTTTAGAAATCTGGCAGTACCGATAAGTATTCAACGAAAAAAGAAATATAAGCAGAACATAAATCTTCTAAAACTGAGTTAAACACAGTGAATCCCGAAGGTAAAGTTTAATATTCTGTTTTTTACGATGTACCTACTTATTTTAAACCTATTTTTGTTTACAGATTCTTCATGTAGTAAAGATGACATGATAGTTGCCTTATCAATCCACTCACTGTTGCCACCTTGCCTTACAAAAAGAAAACAATATGGTTATTGCTGATGTCATCTCAAAAATAAATACCGCTACTTTGAACACTGTGCTTTAATTCGACGAAATTACCTACACACAAGTAGATAGACAAAAATAAGTTTGAACAACTAAAAAAAAATGTTAAGGTACCATCTAATGATACAGCAAACAAAAAATAGTTCATCAACTGAATAATTGGTATAGTACCTTCTATTTTCTTTCTATAACAAAAAATTTTGGATACTGATCAATTATTCAGTTACTCAACTGAATAATTGTTACTGAGCATGAATAATTGTCATTATACACTCTATTTTGTTGCTACAACAAAAAATTTGGTTACTAAACTATTATTCTGGTGAAAATATGTTTAACTATTAATTTCTGGTTGTTATAACTATGAAGGTGGATAGGTGCATTTTCATATGCTCTTTTTGGTTGTTTTGACCTATCATTTTCTTTGAGTGAATAATGCCAACATGCTTCACGAGCCGCTCCCACTACGATAGCGAGCGGCAAATTTGAAATTCGGATTCAGCACACCTGAAAACAAACAGATCAGTTATAAAGCCTGAACCAGGGACTTTTTCTTCAAAACATCTTTTCCTGACACCGATTTCCTGGACTATAAATACAAATAATTAAAATAGTAGGAAAAGAAGATGATTCTGTTAGCCCCGAACTATCAATTAATTGTCAATCAACACTGACATATATCTCTTACAAGAATTAAAATCGAAACACTTTGATCACCCCTACTTGGATTCTAAGTTATACAGGGTGTTTGGAAGGTCGATGCAAAGTCTTGGAGAGGTGATCGGGGAGGTCATTTAGACCTAATTAAGCCAAAAATAGCTTACGGTTTTCGGAGTTTTTCGAAAATTTTAGATTTTTTTTTTGATAAAATGCATTTTTTACATATTATGTCTCCTCTTACCTGTAAAATAAAAGATGACACCATGACAATAATTTTTTATCAGTGAAAAGAAAAAAAAAATAGCAAAATTTTATTTTATTATTTTTTTGTAGTCAGTGTGGTTTTCTTTTCTCTACACTTTCAGAAAAGACAAACGTTCTGCTAATAGAAAAATATATATTATCTAACTGTCATCTTTTATTTTAGAGATAAAAGGAGAAAAATGTGTGTTTTTTTTTTTAAAGAAATCCAAAATATTCGCAAAACTCGAAAACCGTAGACTTTGTACTAAGGTATGTTTGGCTTAATTATGTCTAAATGACCTCCCCTATCACCTCTCCAAGACTTTGCATCGAACTTCCAAACACCCTATATAACTGCTAATTATTGGAATGTCTTTAGGAGCTGCTCAAAACCTTAAAACCTCAAAAGCCGATGACATTCTTCATTAATTATTATTGTTGTTCTCAATACAAATTGTATCAAATAACAATAAGACAGTGTAATGAGACGGTGCTTAAATGCAGATGAATGGACCACAAAGATACAAAATGTGCTGTCTGATGATGATGGGCTCTGCACTGTCGCACAGCCCAACAACGTGAGGTTTCAGTCAGACACGGGCTGCGCTACCGAACGCTTTCAACGTACCGAAGAGAGTACTTTATATCAAGAAAGTTCGCGAACTTTCAATTTTTAGTCAAAGCTTAAATGTGATTTTTTTTTTCGTGGCAAGTGATATTAAGGATTTGATGTCTTGAACTGGAAAATATTTGGTTAGTTTTGATTTTTTTTTTTTGTAATTTTTGCAAAATATTTGGAATTTTCTATAGACTCATGAAAAATAAATTACCTATTTTGCATATTTTTTTTTTTTTTTGGACTTTACAGTTTATTTCTGAGTCAAAATAGCGGCATGAATCAAATCAACACATCAAAAACCAATAAATACCATATATAAATTTGGAACGGAAGGATGCTGGTTTTCAGTAAACCATTTTTTAATTATTAATCAAAATGTGTGAAATTGAAAAAAAAAATTATAATTATTTTGTCCGAGTGGCTAGAATAATTCTAATTTTATAAAACGACAAATGTGTGCTAAAAATAAGTTTTCGCTATTAAAATTCTTGATGGTATAGTTAGAACGTTTTATTGAGGTAAATTAAGTGTTGATTTTCAAAGTTCTAAAAAATTTTTTGGATCCCAAACAGCCAAATTCCAAAAATACATACCTAAAGCTTTTTTTTTATTGATACTTTTTGATGATCTTGCCAGCATTCAAACCACATTTTTAAATTGTTTATTTTTTGAAACAATGAACCCCGAAAAACTGAAGGGAGAGAAATCCTTTAATAGCCCAATTACTCATTCTCGAAAGTAACACTTCATTCGTTTTTTCGTCTATTTTCAGATCGGAACTATTTTGAGAAGAAAAAGTAAACTCTCTTGTCGGAATGAAAATTTTATTGTCTAAATAAATTGTCAAGTGACGATTGAAATAAGCTGCGAAAACTCTAATTTCTCTGGGGTTCCCCAGCAATCGAATCAATTATTGCAAATTTTGCACAAAAAAAAAATTACAAAGTGTGCAAGATAAATTATTGATAATTTTAGTTCAATCTAATTTTAAACACATGCCTGGGTTAAAGGCATACACACATCTGTCGGGATTTGTTTAAAATGTTGTTTGATATTTAATCTTGAAAGGCATAAACATCGGTAATAATACTTACTATGTATCTTTAGAATAGTTTTGAACTACATAACACAATATGCATTAAGAGATTTTAGGGGGATTTGCATTATGACATCTATTTTTAAAATTTTTCTAGGTTACGGGGCCAAAAATAACGAGTCTATTGATTATATTTTGGCAACTTGAAAGATTGTAATTGAAATATTTTGATTGAAATGAACGTGTATTTGAAGAATGGAAAACATTTAAGGAAGAATTTAAAAATTTTGGCGAAACACTTCAGGGATATGTGAAATTTTTCAGAAATCATTCAAACCTCTTAAGACGAGGAACATTTCTGAAGAATGAAAACAGATTAGAAGAACTTCGAATAGCGTTGAGAAATATTTTGGAAACTTCATAAAATGCATTGTTTTCAGAATCATTTAATAAAGTCTTCGAGATTCAAAAAACATCTAAAATACTCAAAAACGAGAAACATTTCAAACATTGAAAACATCTGAGATGTTCATGCAATGTTGTAACATATTGTCACGGCTTTGGTGTGCGTCACAGAAATCTTGGGTTCGTTGTTCGTTTATTCCAAAATCAAAGTCTAATTAATATAACAATAATTTATTCCTCTTAACTATACACTCTGACACTAATTACTTTAATAACTACCTCAATAATTAAACTCTTTACAACTCGCAACAATAATCACTATTTAAATCGTATCGCAGTCAAATTTAAACTTAAAACTTCTAAATACCAGCTTGCTTTATATAGCCGTAAATCCATTCATGTACAATCTAGAATACACGCGATAACTCTCCTTTTTCTCGATTAAGTTGAATTTACTAGATTATAGGAATCTGTAGTTTCTAGGGTATTCGACAGCCTATAGGATTCTTGACACTCTGGCGGCCGTTACAATATTTTTAAAGCTTTCCAGGGAAATTGGTAAGATTTCAAAATGAAAACCTGAAAAGAAGAAAATTTGAAACATTAAAGACGGTTGAGAAAAACTCTCAGAAACTAATCTGAAATATTATAAAAACTTCAAAAATGTTTCAGGATGCTTTAGAAATCATTTCTTATGCTCCATATTCGCCCTTGACATGAGGAACATTTCAAACATTTAAAGAAACTTAGACAATCTTGAAGTATAAAAAACTCTTCAGAAATATTTCAAACATCTGGAAATATTCGAAAACTTCATGCAGCATTGAGGAGCAGTTTCAAAACTTGTTAGAGCTATTCCTAAAAATTCAAAAACATTTTAAGCGATCAGGAACATTTTAAATAATAAAAACCCATACTTGAGAAGAGGTACATTCCAAACTGACCAAACATTAGAAAATATTAAAACACAGAAACTGTTGAAGAACATTTCGCAAACTCTTCAAAAATATTTTATACAGCAGAGATATTCTCAACATTTCAGAAACATTTTAAGCATTTAGGAACATTTAAAATAATGTAAAATCATATTCGAGAAAAGGAACGAGCAAACAGAAAATACCAAGAAACAGAAACTCAGAAACTCTTGAAGAACGTTTTGACAACATTAGAAAACTTCATGCAACATTGAGGAGTATTTTTATAAAACTTTTCAGGGATATTCTCAACATTTCAAGCATTCAGGAACATTTCAAATAGAAATAATGAAAATCCAAACTTGAGAAGAGGAACATTCTAAACTGACCAAACATTAGAAAATACTTTGACACAGGAACTCAGAAACTCTTGAAGAACGTTTTGAAAACTCTTCAGAGATATTTCAAACCGCTTGTATTATTAGAAAACTTCATGTAGCATTGAGGAGCATTTTTAAAACTTTTCAGGGCCCTTCATAACATCTCAAAAATATTTAAAATGTACGTTCAACATATCAAATATCTAATACATTTTTAGCGAACATTTTTGAAACTTAATAATATTTAGAAAATATATTAGAACTATAAATTAAAATTAGAACTCTCTTTTCTACAAACACGTGGAGCCAGAGAAGATTCAATTACAATTTTAAATAAATAAAAATCATAAATATTCACAAGCTTCTTAATAACCTAATTTGTCTTTTAAATGAAGCCGCAAGCTTTTTTTTCCGAGATGAGCCAAGACATTCATTACAATAATGTCATTGATGGTATGGTAATGGAACCAGAACCCGAAAGCAACTTTGCTGGTTTTGCGAAACCAGTATATGATTTTGTATTATGAAAATTCATGGAATTATTATGCCCGTCTTGGCTTGAATTGAATTGATTTTACATTAAATAAAACATTTCTCGATTTCAGGTACCAAAAATGGCTTAATTCCCAACAACTAAGTGACCCCACCATGCGATTGAAGCACCCGTTGTGTTTCTACTTTTTCGTGCAGCTCACTTTTGCTTACCATCAAAAAAATGACTATTTCAAAAACCCTCAAAGAACTAATACGAAAAAGTACTATCCGGCTAGCTGGAGCGCTCCGGACGACGTCAAACTGAGACATTCTACGTCGAAATTTCCGCATTTCGATCAAATCAAAGGTAGAATAGACAATTTGTATAGTAATAGTGAACGTAGTGATAGAAACAACTTGTTTAGTGCCGCCAAGAGTGATAGTACTAAATATTTCAATAGTGATAATCGATGGGGTACCGCTCCGAAGTTACGACATCACGGTTACTCGAATAGGGGTCGTACCAGTACGACTACAACAACACCAAGTCCGGACGAAGTTTTGTTTGAAAACTATGGCGATTTGGATGAGGAAGATGATGAAAAAACGGTGAGAATTATATTTATCTTATGATAATCCTAATCAGCAAAAGGTCATGTTTGAAGCTTAACTTTTCGAAGCTTAACTTCTAAAAGCCTATAAAATCAACTAATCTCGTTTTTGGAGGTTTTATAGAGAATTTAATCCTCTTTCAGAAAACCTAAAATACAAGTTGATTCGTTGAGAAGTAACAAAATTGTGCGCGAATTTTTGGGAACATGTCAGAGTATAAGAGAATTTTCAAGGCGAAAATTGTACTTTGGAGAAAAAATAATTTCTGAGCTTCAGATACTGTATAATCCAACAGGCAAGTAATTTTTGCTGGAAACTTGATGATATTTTGGTATGTAATTTGTGGGTAGTCTGTGGTGTTAAATCTGAGCTTTCGACCTCGAGGACCCTGTGCTAGCTTGGGGGGAGTCAAAAAGCCACGAAGATTTCGGACTTATTCGTTTTTTTGCTTATATTTTCTAAACTATGCGGTTTAGCGGAATACACCTAGTTATAAAGTTGAAGAGCATTAAATTTCCTTCAAATTTCACTAGTCAGTATTATTTACCGCAATAGTAACTGAGATACAGTGGTTCAAAGACACAGAAAAAATCTCAACTTGTCAAAAATTTCTTCCGGCTGACCACAATTCAAACCAAGCATGGGATAATAGTTATTTACATTATAAGTGCGTTTATGAACATGATTACAAAAACGAGTGTGAAAGATTAGAACGACGAGGTCGTAGACCGAGTCGTTCTAATCACACGAGTTTTGTAGTCATGTTTAAGTGCACGTGCGTGATGTACAACATTTTATCTACAAAGCAAAAAGTAGGAATGTTTTTCCAATCATTTTCGTTTATTAGTCGTTGTCTCCCTTCCATTTACCTTTTCAGGTTTAACTTTGACATTTGTCAAATCCCCAAAAATAGTTGGGCTATATAACCATTTCTTTAGTATTTGAGTTATGTCATGAGACTCAAAACAGAACAGTGGTCTAATGAACTAGGTTATGAATTCATAACACAACTAGTGGTGTTATGGACTAGGTAATGATTTCATAACACAACTATTTTTGGTGATTTGACAAATGTCAAAGTTAAACCTGTAAAGGTAAAATGAAGGTAGACAACGACTAATAAACGAAAATTATGGAAAAAAACAGTCTCATTTTTCGCTTTGTAGATAAAACGTTGTACATCACACGTGCGTTTAAACATGACTATAGAACACGTGTGATTAGAACGACGGGGTCTACAACCTCGTCGTTCTAATCTTTCACACTCGTTATTGTAATCATGTTCATAAACGCACTTGTAATGTAAATAACTATTATCAACAAAGGTTTGGTTATGACGTTCTTACCTAACCATTTTTCTAGTATTTGAGTTATGTCATGAGACTCATAACACAACTAGTGATGTTATGGACTAGGTAATGGATCTATAACACAACTAGTTTTTGTGATTTGACAAATGTCATAGTTAAACCTGTAAGGGTAAAATGAAAGTAGAAAACTACTAATACGCGAAAACCGAGAAAAACATTTTCTTATTTTTCGCTTTGTAAACAAAACATTGTACATCATACGTGCGTTTGAAACTCGTGTGATTAGAACGACTCGGTCTACGACTTCGTCGTTCTAATCTTTCACACTTATTATTGTAATAATGTTCATAAACGCACTTGTAATGTAAATAACTATTATCCTCATCTCCCACAGACGATATACATATGTCTGTCTACTGTGCACCTGAATTATTTTCCACATTAACCACGAAATTATCGGACTTTTCCAGTTTTTTGCTTATAGCTTCTCAACAAAATTGAAGAACCTCAAATTTCCTTTAAATTTCATTGGCCAAAAGAATTCAATCCAATGGTTACTGAGATATAGTGATTCAAAAATTCAGGTAATTTCTCAGATTATCAAAAATAGCATAGAATTACAGGTTTTTGCCCTTTAACTTTGGAAAACACAAGCTTGGTCTATGAGTGCAGCAAAGATCGTCGATATCGTTCTACTGCTTTGGTGCTTTGGTTACTTATGCCAACAGGATACCCATCAAAAACCATTATTGCATTACATGTCGTATCTTTTGTTTTGTCCACACAACCTTATGTAGCAGGTACACACCATCAATAACTGCGCATTTGCTGCTGCTAAAGTCTACTGGTTCTTTCATGTTTACCTCTTTCCAGAATGCGAACTGCCCATTTCCAGAAGTTTTATTAGATAAAAAGTTGTAGGTTATGTTAAAATGAAATCACTAACGAAGTTTAAGACGAGTGTTAATCATTAAAAAAATGGTGCGATATACTGTGGCCTATTATTAGAAGGTATATTTTGCCACTTTTTCAACTTAATATGTATAACTTGACTATGAGGAATCACTGGTAAAATCCATTTGACCTAAAAATTATTTGGTGTATTTATACAGGGTGTCCCAGTAAATGTCGCATACAACATTGACTTTGTTCCCTTCTGCATACCTCCCACTGTGAAGAGAGATATCGGGAAGGAGTTAAGCTCGTATTTCATCAAGTCTCTAAGGTCATCATCTGATTGTTCTATTATGCGAATCCGTTGAAAGAGAGTGAGAGGGTCTATTTTGAACTTTTTTCTTTAATTTTTACACAACAAGAAACAGATGCAAGAGAAACAAACAACCTTATCTTTCCGCTTCAATTTCATTTCTTGAAAATTCCCTTTTTCCAAACAGGTCTTCATACAGGTGATACCAATAGTTCGAACTAAGTGGCAGTTCACAACTTCAGGAACAACAGCTCCTGTGCCTACTGAGAATAGCTCTTTTGTATCCAGGAAAGGTGGATGGTCAGTAGATAGACCAGTTCAGTACGGGTCACGTCAAAATCAAAATCAAAAAAGGGTTTATTTTCCAAAAATAATTATTAAAATACAATACAATTTAAAAAAAATCAGGGGTACAGTAGACTGTGAGTGCACGTGAAAGAGACGAGGATAAAGATGTTTATCCCATGCCTGGTTTGAATTATATTCGGACGGGAAGACATTTTTGATGAGTTGAGATTTTTTTTTGTATATTTAAACCGCTGTATCTCGGTCACTATTGCATTAAAGGATACTTTTGACTAGTTCAATTTAAATAAAATTTAATTTTCTTCAACTTTATAAATAGGTGTATTCCGCTAGAAACGCATGGCTTAGAAGTTATGAGCAAAAAACTGAAAAAGTTCGAAAATTTTTAGGTCTTTCCACTACCCCCCACTGGGTCCTTGAGGTCGAAAACAGATTCTACTCCACAGACTATCCACAAACGACATGCCAAAATATCAATAACTCCGGAATACTTTCCAGCTACCCCCTTTGTTTATTATTTGTCTGCTGGCCTAGTATCCGAATGACAAATAATTGTCTTCGTGTTCAACTTTCCATTGAAATATATTTGATTTTCCTTTCAAATCTGCACACCAACTTAGAAATTTCTGAATATCTCTTTCAAACTTCTGACTCAATCCTTAACCTATTTTTTGCCGAGGTAAATACTTCAATATCCTCTCTTCCTGTTTTTGACTTCTTCATGTTTTCGTTTCTGTTGTTTAATTTCGTGATGTTCAAACATTTTAGGTGGGAGTTCTTCCATTTGAGTTTTGCTTGTCTCGTATCAGAATTTCCTCAAACTTTCTGAAAATTCCTTTTGTGAATAACTGGATAACTCTTTTTGTGGCTTCTGAATTATTTGTTTATTCCAGGCCCTCGAATATCAAGACGAAAATAGTCACATTTCAGCCTATTTTGAAAAAAAAAAACATGGAAACTTCTCTATTTCTGGAATAACATAGAAGGCAAATGCTCCTACAAACTTTCAATTCCATGGACAATTTAGAATTTACTTATATAAATACACAAAGAATTGATTTATTGTTACAAGTTGTTTTACAAAGTCCATTAAATCAAGCACAGTAGGTAGGTATAGAGAATAAAATCATTATTAGCTCCGAAAAAAAAACCCACAAAGTAGATAATCTTGATTTATTACTTTATCTTCTCGTTTGTGTGTATTTTTCAGGCTTCAGATTACTTTGCTTCTGGTTTTGATATTAATTCAGTCCGTACATGGCAAACAAAGAGCTCAGGTATGCCTACATAAAAACGTGATATTTGGTCTTGATTTCATATAACGTTAGATAATGAAGGTTGAATTTGAAATCCTCTCAAAATATTTCCTAACATTCTCTAGCTTCTAAAACATAATCTCCTAACTTACTTCCTGCAGTATTAAATTTTTAAATGCAAAAATTTCTATTTCTATAGTGGGTAGGGTATACTGGTTTCACGGGTGTACCATACCATCGATGGTATTCGCATTATTTACGCTGTTCATTAAATATTTTGTATAAAAAAAAAGGGCATTCTGCAAACCGGCCGAACAGGACACCGTATTAAAGTGTCCGCCGCGGTGTCTTTATGTGCTTGGAAATTATCACAATATTTTTCTATTTGAGACATTTTTTTTTTCGCTAGAATTTTCTTATACAGAATTAGATGAAATGTCTGGTTAAAGTACTGTCAAAACTTAAATTCATGTGAAGTTGGAAAATATTGTTACGAAATTGCCTTGGGAAGCCGGCCGTGAGTTTTAGTGAACCCGGAATCCGTAACAATTTGGTAAAAATGGAGCAAGTCGATCAAATGTTGGCGGACCTTATGAAGAATTTGTATAAGAAGAGGCATGAGGAAGAAACACGAATACAGAAAGAAAAACTTTAGTGGGGAATGGGTCTTCTACTTTCCATATAGTGTTTCTTCTATTGAACTTCTGTGTGTCTGAATTGCTAAGAAAACGGATATAAAGGACATCGATTGAAAAATATATTGAGTGAAAGTGATTACAAGATTAGAAATAATGTCACAGCTTGAAAAAAGCCTAAAACACACTTACATTAACATTAAAAAACCTGTACAAAGAATGACTGGTAAAAACAGGTTATGAAGGTAGTTTTGTTACATTACCTTACTCCATGAAACGTCCC